CCCCCCGCCCCCTCCCCGCCCCCGCGTTTCCTCCGCGTTCCCATCGCTTCCGCCTCCAGCGCGGGTCCCACCGCTGCCCGAGCATGGACGACCTAGACTGCGACTCCACCTGGGAGGAGGACGACGAGGACGAGGATGGCGGGGATGGCGAGGTCGTCAGCGCGGGGGACGTGGAGGACGAGGACGAGGACGCGGAGGAGCCGCGGGCGGCGCGGCCCAGCGCGCTCCAGGTGGGGCCCCTCCCCGGGTGCAGACGAGACTCGCCGAGTCCGGCTGTCCGCTGCTCAGCCGCTGAGCCTCCAGGAAGTGCGGGGCGGCGGGCCGTGCGGGGACGGCGGGCGGTCCCGGTCCGGTGTCCACGCCGGTGACGTCGAAACCGTGCGTTGGTGACGTCAGGTCCGAGTCCCCGGGACCGTGTCGCGTGTGGGTGACATTCCTCCAGGGAGGCCTTGGTCCACCCTGACCTCCCTCAGTCACAGCCTGCGCCCGCCCCGCGGCGGTTCCCCAAAGGATCCCAGTCTGGGCCTCTGGATGCACCGCCCGGGCCACCTGCGGTCCCTCCCCTCACCCTGGCCCGGGCTGTGTGGAGCCCTGTGACCTGTGAGTAGGAGCAGGCGCCCGCGCCTCAGCGCAGGTTATTTTTGTTACCACCGGGCATGGGTACTTGTCGCCAGGGGTTACTTTGTTGCCAGAGGCTCCTTGCTGGCTGCTGGGCTCTGAATAGCCAGCCTCCCTCCAGCTGGGGTTTCAAGTGATGTGGGGACCTGAAGGCGGTTTGGATTCCGGCTGTAGTCCCCTGGAGGGCCCCAGGGCAGGGGACGCTACTTTTGGGGTATCTCTTGGTGCGGGGGGGGAGGGGGCCAGTGAGTGATCTGAGGGGCCCGGGGGGTCAGTGAGTGACCTGAGGGGCCCTGAGCCTACCAAAAAGGTCAGCGCTGTCCTTTCCTTGGCACACCTGCAATGTTTGGGACAGGGGCAAGCCAGGCAGGAGTCAGGGTCCCAGACCTGGAGACAAGGGCGGAACCTGGCCCTGCTCCCTTAGGGTGGTGTGCCCTCAGGCAGGCTCTGATGGAGGGTGCTGTCCCCACGTAGTCCCTCAGACCCCACTCCTGCAGCAGTGCTCAGAGCCTTGATATTAAGGCACTTGCCACCTCTGACCTCTTCCCTTCTGCCTCCTGCTATAGTTTCTGTCCCCAAGCCCCGTGCCTCACCCCATCCTCCTCACCTCTCCAGCTTCCCCACACTGGATCCTAGAGAGGCTGTGTCTCTTTGTCCTGGGCGGTGTCATGTGTGCACCTGTGGGCTGCCTATGCACAGCCAGTCGGGACCCTTCCCTGAAACTAACCTGGGAGGAAGTAGGAACCAGTGGGGGTGGGGCCACTTCTGCTCAGTTTCGATTCTGTTCTCTGTCCTTGACTGGGCAAGAAGGAACCTCACCCATGGCCCTGGCTAGAAATTGGACAATAGCAACTTCAGACGCCAGTGGGAGCCCGGGTCAGATCTGGAACACAGCAGCTGGCCAGGCTTCCTGACCCCGCTTCCAGCACTCCCCCAGGGTCCTAGGTGCAAGCTGTCCTCTCATGTCATCATGTCATGCCCAGGTCCCTCCTCCAGCAGATCTACTTTACTGTGCCCCCACAATTGTGACAAGGGGGCCCAGGGCTGTTTCTGTAGCATCCCCGCTGCCAGTCACCTCTGGTCCTCCCTAAATCTGGGGCCTGGCCTGCAGAGCTGGGTGCTGAAGGGCTGGGGACCTGACGTCCTGCTAAGAAGCTGTTCTCGGGCAGGGCTGGAGGTGGGACATGCAGGGTCTGACCTCGTGGTGGCCATCTGGCCAGGCAAAGGGGGGTGGGGACCAGGCAGGAAAGGGGCCGACTCCCTGGGCCTCAGTTATTCATGCATCAGATGCTGCCAGAGGTGCCTGCGTTCCCTCATGGGGCTGTAGTTGGTGAGGCCAGTGCCCCAGGGATGCAAAGCCAAGTGATAAGTTAGAGCTCAGTGCAAGGAGAAGGGACCATGGGGGGCTCTGAGGGATGGAAGGGGGCCAAGGTCAGAGTAGGGTGGCCAGACACCTGGGAGGAGGCGACAAAGCTGGGAACTGGGTACCAGGTGTGGAGGGCCATGCCCCTGGGAGTGTGCACAGTGTCCTCCACTGTGAGGTGAAGACTGGAAGTCTCTGGAGGGCTGGGTAGAGGGGCAGGCCTGACTCCCCAAAAAGAGCCAGTATGAAAGAATTGGCGGGCAGAACCTCAAAAGCCCTGGCCCTTTGAAGCCAGCTCATTGACAGTTGACCCAGGCTTAGGCCCCACTGGGGTGGGGCCTGTGAGAAACGACTTGCATGGGGCCCTGATCCTGTCTCTTCTCTCCCCAGTTCAGGATGACAGGGATCCGAAACTGGCGAGCTATGCGGGACATGCGCAGGTACCGGCACAACTACCCGGTATGTATGTATCCACAGCCCCCACGGTGCTCCAAAGCCCCCATGGTGCCTCAGCAGCCCACCTGGAGACACAGAGCCCACCCGTCACCCCCTTCTGAGACAAACCCAGCCTGGGGCTGCCGGGTCCCCCGGGATGTGGGGCACCAAAGGTGCTGCTGTCCCTGCACATGGTTAGTAGAGGGCACAGGAGGTGCCGTGTGAACCGGATCCTGGCTTCCCTGCTCACAGGGCCGTGCCCCATCTCTCTCAGCCTCAGCACCTAGCCTGGGATGTAAGGCAGCAGCACCAGGCTTGTGACACAGGTATGTGGGGTCTCCACATGAGCCTTCCACCTGCCCCACGCTAGCCCCTAACCCACACTGCCAGCCTCTCACAGCCACCTCCTCAGGTGGTATCCTCAGCATTGTCCTCTGCACCTGTGAATGTCAGGCAACCTCTGTGCCACCTCTGGGGCATGGAGGGAGGGCTCTCCCAGCCCTGGCCTTGCTGGTGAGGAGGAGAACGTGGCCCCTGGAGTCAGAGGCCCTGCTGTCCTGAGCCTGGTCCCTGGGGTCAGAGGTCCTGCTGTCCCTGAGCCTGGCCCCTGAGATCCAAGGTCCAGCTGCCCCTGAGCCTGGCCTCAGAGATCCAAGGCCCTGCTGACCTCTGAATTGGCTCCTGAGGTCCAAGGCACTGCTGTTCTCTGAGCTGGCCCTATTACAGAGGGAGCAGCCAAGCTGGGCTCTTGGCCTTAAGCTGACTCAGGAGGTCTGTAGGTTGTCTGATGCTCTCCCCAGAAGGCATTTGTGAGGGTCCCAGGCAGCCTGAGGACCCCACTGTCCCCTCTCTGGCTCTTCAGGACCTGGTGGAACGAGACTACAATGGTGATATGCCAAACCTGAGCTTCTACAGGAACGAGATCCGCTTCCTGCCCAACGGTACATGCCAAGCACCTGGCTGCCTGTCCCCTGGGCCCTGGATGGGATATGCCCGCTGCAGGGCCACAGCTCTCACGTGGCCCTGCAGCACCCCCGGAGGCAGCCACAAGGGCCCAGGGCACCCACATCTCAGTGCATACCTGGAGGTCCTGGTCTGCAAAGGCCAGGGAGGAGTCGGTGGAGGCTTCTAGCACCTGGTCACTGTGGAAGCCACTGGGATCTCGCCATCTCACAAAGCAGCTTGTAAACTTCAGGGCTAGGAATGGATTTTACACATTTAAGTGACTGGGAAAATTAACGTAGACAGGATTTTGTGACATGAAAAGTGCACCAAGTTAGAAGTTCAACGTCAGTAAGTTGGGTTTCCTGAGGGCCAGGCCAGCCTACCCATCCACATCTGCATGTGTCTGTGGTGGCTTCCATGTTGCAATGTGAAACAGGTTGGTGGGTGGCGAGGGTCACGAAGCCCAGGGTGCTTTCTGTCTGGTCCTTGAGAAACTCTGCCCACCTGCCCTAGGCCTGTGGGTCTGGGGTCACCTGGGGGCTTTGCTTGAGAATAGAGTTCCTGGATGACAGGCTGTGCTTTGGGGTAGCAGCAAGGCCCCCTTCTGCACTGACAGGTGTGTGGTACTGGGACCTGGGTTCTTCTACAGGGGGTCTTTCGGGCTGAAACTTGGATTTACTGTCTGTTAGCAGTGAGAGTCCAGTGTGCAGGCTGCAGAGGGGCAAGGGCCAGGTGCCAGAGTGGGTGGGTTACACATCAGAGGGGAGCAGTCAGTCCTGCTGGGCCCAGGACCCTGAGGAACCTCAAGAAACCTGGGTGGGCAGGGGCTTTGGAACCTTGGGCAGTGCTCTGTCCCAGCTCTGGTACCATCAGGGTGGCTTCCACAGCTGACTTGTCCCATGATGCACCTAGGCTGTTTCATTGAGGACATTCTTCAGAACTGGAGGGACAACTATGACGTCCTGGAGGACAATCACTCCTACATCCAGTGGTGAGCCTGACAGGAGGGGGAAGGGGCAGGGAAGGAGCAGGGAGGAGTGGGGGAAGAAGGGAGCAGGCCCTCCCCGGCAGGAGCCTCGTCCATGCTGCTCCTCATGTGGCCTGAGCATGCCCAGCTTTCCTGGAAGTTGGTGGCTATACAACACAGGGCAAAGCATCACTGGGTACTCCAGTGGCCACCAAGGGAAATGTTGACCTGTCCCTGCCTGGGCTCTTAGTTCTAAACAACCTCTTCGCTGCAAGCCAAAAGGTGAGAGATAGGACTGACAGGGGCTGCACCAAGGAGAAGAGGGCAGGCCCTGCCTGTGGAGGGTGTAGCCTGGGTGCCCCGAGGGGCACTGGGGCTGGACCATGTCTGCCCTGCTCCTCGGTCCTCATGCTGTTGCCATGGAGGCCCACAATGCAGTGAGGCCCGGCATGCCACCCTGGGGACCACGCTCAGGGAGCCTCTTCTGCCAGGCTGGGTGGCTGCTGTCAACCCGGCCATTGAGTCACCATCCGCATCCTGCAGGCCATAGCACACCTCAGCCTCCTGTCCTGAGCCCTCACATGTCCATCTGAGCTCGCCCACCCTCACTCCTTCACTGTTGACTCAAGGGAGGCCCTGCCAGCCCCTCCTAGAGTTGAGCTGGGAGCCCAGAGAGGGTGGGGCACTACCCATGCCACCCAGCATGGCCCCTCATGCCCAGGTGTCTCTTCACTGCAGGCTGTTTCCCCTGCGGGAGCCGGGAGTAAACTGGCATGCCAAGCCCCTCACACTCCAGGAGGTCGAGGTCAGTATCATCCAGCTGTGGTTGGGGAAGAGCCCTAGGAAAGCCACCCTGCCAGTGGGCTGTGCCTGACCAGGTGTCTGGTGCCCACTCAGGGGCTGCTGGATGCAGAAGGCCAGAAGTGCCTCCAGGTCCATGACCTTACCTCCCAGGTGGCCTTTGCCTCTTCCAGGCACCTGGAGGCTGTCTGCCTCCAGATGGGAAAGCCAGGACAGAGGCCCCAGCTGTCACTCGGGTTTGCCGTCTTTCAGCAATGAGTCCAGTGTGCAGGCTGTAGACTGCAGTGGTGGGACCTGCCTTTGTCCCTCCTGGTTTGGGCCACCCCTGAGGGATGGGTGGGGCTTGGTGGGCTGAGGAATGTGCCTCTCAGTGTGCAAAGTGGATCCCTAGAGGAGTTGCTTTATGATGGTGGGCTGAGGATGTCCTGGGCAGAGCAGCGGCCTGAGGCCTGAGGCCCCAGGCAAGAGGGAGGCATGTAGACATGTCGCTTGTCATTTTGCTCCAAAGCCTGAGTCAGGCCTCCGAGTGAGCTGGGACTGGGGGAGGTATCAGTGGCTCTGTGTCTGCAGGGCCACCCCCGCACCCCAGGAGCAATTCCTATGGCCGCCTGATCACCCCACGGCTCTCTTCCAGGCGTTTAAGAGCTCCCAGGAGATCCAGGAGCGCCTCATCCGGGCCTACAAGCTCATGCTGGGCTTCTATGGCATCCAGTTGGTGGACCAGGACACTGGCACCGTGTGCCGGGCACAGAACTACCAGGAGCGCTTTCAGAACCTAAACTGGTGAGGCCCAGCCTCCGTGCCACCCCATTGCAAGGGATTAGGCGACACAGGGTTTCAGGCAGGTCAGGGGAGTCCAGCGAGGCTCTGAGCATCTCCCTCCAGTCTGCAGCATGGGGTCGGCCCTGCCTCAGGGTCTGAGGATTTAAAGAAAACTGTTCTCGTGCTTGGGGGTGTCAGGCCAAGCAGGGCACGGCCACTCTGCAGGCGGCACTGCCACCTTGCAGGGAGCTGAGGCCCTGTGCTGGGCCCTGCGCCCTGGAGGGCCCTGTGGCCCCTCCAGCCAGCTCTGCCCTACAGGAGGATGGCCCCTTCCAGGCGACACATCCCACCCACACATCTAGGACCCACTGGCCATGTTCTCGGGTATGGGGGAGTCCTTCTTTGGGAACAGGGACTGGGACTGGACAGCAGCCAGGGTATGGAGGCTTTGGAGGATGAGGGGAGCCCAGTGGGAAGACAAGGGCAGGCCTGGCAGAAGGGCTGGGCAACCACGTACCTGACCCACCCCTGACCCTGCACCCGACCCCACAGGCATGGCCACAACAACCTGCGAATCACACGCATCCTCAAGTCGCTGGGTGAGCTGGGTCTGCAACACTACCAGGCACCACTGGCACGCTTCTTCCTGGAAGAGACGCTGGTGCGACGCGAGCTGCCGGGTGTGCGGCAGAGTGCCCTGGACTACTTTGTGTTTGCTGTGCGCTGCCGCCGCCAGCGCCGCCAACTGGTGCACTTCGCCTGGGAGCACTTCCGGCCCCGCTGCAAATTTGTCTGGGGGCCCCACGACAAGCTGCAGAAGTTCCGGCCCAGCTCCCCACCCCAGCCCGACCCCGGGCAGGCAGAGGGGCTGCAGAACCCTGGGGAGCCCCCTCACGAGGCTAGCAGCCGGACCTGTGGGACAGGGTGGGACGAGGATCCAGTGACCGAGGGCCCCCAGCTGCCAAGCGTGGAGTCGCAGGACACGGGAACCCTGGAGAGGAGCCCAGGAGAGGAGGCTGAGGGCCACAGGGAGGACGGGCTGGAGCCCATGAGCCCCAAGGAGGGCAAGAAGAGGAAGCTGGAGCTGAGCCGGCGTGAGCTGGGCTCCCCAAGCGCTGCGGAGGTGGAGAAGATTGTTCTGAACCTGGAGGGGTGTGGCCTTGGGGCAGGCACCCCAGAGGTGGGCAGCCAGGATTCAGGCAAGGCTGAGCAGCCTGGCCTCCCAGCCCAGGGGAGCAGGGCAGCTGACGAGGCGAGGAAGAGGAGGCGGGTGGACCAGGCCACCAGGGACAGTGTGGTGGCAGCCAGTGAGGGCACCCAGATGCCTGCCCCACCAAAGTGCCCTGAAGCTGGTAAGGGTGAGAGCAGGGTCCAGGAGGACATGGAAGGCCAGGTGGGGCCTGAGCAGGGGGTCCCCGGGAGCCCCGTCCCTGCAGGACCTCCTGGGGATGAGCGGGAGCCAGAGGTGGCAGGATCGGGGCCCTCCGCCAAACCAGCGGAACCTTAAGGAGCAGCCATGGGTTGCTCCCCCACAGTGCTGGCCCCACCCCGGAGGGAGTGCAGGCCCCTCAGGGAAGGCCATGGCCTGCGGAAGCCTCCTCACTGGTCCTCCTCTACCCCCCCTTGCCCAGTCTTTTGTAAATTGACCCTTAGGGGGCTGGGCTGGGCTGGGGGCTTGTTTTCTTAGTTTGGTGCCCAGCAAGGCCTTTTCTGAATAAACTCACTTGACTTTGAGCCTTGTTGGTGTGAACCAAGGTCCTGTCTGCTGGTCAGGGGGCACTGGTTTCATAACTGATGGCCCCCAGACATCCTTCCACAGTTCATTGTGGCCTGCCCCATGGCTTTGCCCAGGCAGGGCCTCCCTGGGCACACACACCCTGGCCACAGGATCCCCTGGGTACACCCCCTCCCCCATGTGCTCCAGCCCTGAGCCCATGGCTTCCCAGATCCCTGAGGGCAGGCCAGCTGTCACTGGGCTACCATTTGCTGCCTTTCAAGGTGGGCCTGGGCTTAAGCACTGCCCCCTCGGCAAGTGAGGATGGCATTTGGGCACCCAGGGTCTTGACCAGGCCTTTCCGCCTGCCCTGTTGGGTGGTATGTCCCAGGGCAAGCTCAGCCCCTTCAACAGCCCCAAGGCACCATCTGGCCTCCCGCCCAACCCTGTTGGTCCCCTGTACCAGGACCGGCCATTTCCGTCTCACCTGTGTTCTTCATCACCAGGTGAGGAGCTCTTGTGGGGCCTCTGAGAGGAGGGTCTCCCAATTCAGGGCTCCTCCAAAGGGCCGCACACTTGCCTTTGTGTGGTGGGGATCAGATGCAGACCTGAGAGCTCCCAAGCGGGGAGAGTTAAGGCTGTGTTCCCAAGGGTGTCGAGAGCAGGGGGTGACACGCCAGAAGGCGTTTGAATAAAGACACCCTGGTGAAGGGCCCATGGCCCCGGGTAGGGAGTGAAGGAGAGTCTTCTCCAGCTGCCCCCTCTTGGCCTGCTGAAAGCTGTGGGACCCCTGGTCCCTTGACTCAGCGGGCACCCAGAGATGGACATAGGGCTTCAATCATAGTCACTTCAGCAGGGTCCCCTGGTCCCTAGTGCTCAGGGTCCTGGATCTAGACTGTTGTCAGGCTCTAGTTGGAGAGTCCAGATCCCTGAGGGGGGAACCCTGGGGAGGTTCATGCCTGTGTGGGGGCTTGGATGTACCCGGCAGTGCTGGCCCCACCCGACCTCAGGAAGAGTGATGAACCCAGGCAGGTGGGTGGTGCCTTGGTTCTGCTGCTCCAAGGTAGGCATGGGAGGCAGGGCTCTGATGGGTGTGTGGCCAGCGCCCTTTCTGCCCACTAGTTGGCCCAGGGGCCCAGAGCTGGGGGGTGCTTGTGAGGGAATGAAGGCAGAGGAGGGGCATGCCAGACAGGGTCCCACGCACTCAACCACCCTCCTGACCAGAGGTGAAGACCAGCTGAACTTTGACTTGGCATTAGGCGCTGCAGGGCAGGACCTAGGACTGGACAATAGGGGCCGAGGGGGCTGGCCACACCCTTCCATGATGAACTGCTGGAGAGATACAGTCTTTCCCAGGTTGAGACTCAGAGTGGAGGTGGGACTGCTAGGACCCCCCAGGCTGCGTGCCCCGTGCCATCTGAGCAGACCTGTCCCAGCCTGTCAGAAGCCCTGGCTGTGGGATAGGCGTGGTGGCTCAAGCCTGTAATCCCAGCATTTTGGGGGGCCAAGGCAAGAGGATTGCCTGAGACTTCACGTTCAAGATCAGTCTGGGCAACTTGGCGAGACCTCGTCTCTACAATAAATAAAAAATTAGCCAGACGTGGTAGCACGTACCTGTAGTTCTGGGTACTCGGAAAGCTGAGGTGGAAGGATCGCCTAAGCCCAGCAGGTCAACGCTGGGATGGCCATGAGTGTGCCACTGCACTCCAGCCTGGGCGATGGAGTGAGACTCCAACTCAAAAAAGTTTTTAAAAGCCCTGACTGTGAAGGGGGTCTGAGGGTGACCCCTTGGAGCTCTCTGCCCTCCTGACACTCACACCCCACTCACAAGAGGCCTCCTACCCAGCTGTGAAAGAGCCCCCACAGCCCCACCTCAGGGAGACACACTCCTGATGGTCACACTGCAACAAGTTGCCTGTCACATTCTCTCAGAAGTCAGGCATTCACCTGCAGTTATGAACTCACCCAGCACCCTAAACTCTGCCCATGTTCCCCAAGGGGCTGGGAATCTGTCATTTGATGGGCTTACATTGTGGCATCCCCTGGAGTGCCTCCACCACCACTGCTCTGTCCCCCAGGGTACAGCAGAGCCTGTCCAGGCCTGGATCTTGAGCTCAAAGGAATTGAATGCTGACACCAGCCTGGGTCCCTGCTCACAAGTTCCTTGAGGCTCAGGATGTGGCACCGCCTCCCTCTCTCCCGGACCATCTGCTCCCTGGGGCATAGTCTGGGCTGAGAGTCTGGTGATGGCTGGTACCGTCCAGGTTTATAGGAAGGGCCGAGGAGATTGCGGTCCTATGTCCGTCTCTGCCTCAGTTTCCCCTCCATGGCAGAAACCCCTCACTGAGTCCAGACACCAGGGGTCCTAGCGTCCTGACAGCGCTGGACCCTGGACTGTGGCGGGGCAGGGCGGGAGGAGGCACCCTCTCTGAAGGACTTCCTGGATGCT